CCCTTAGTCCCCTCCTTACATCAGTGTCCCCATGGTCCCCCTCCTTACATCAGGGTCCCCTTTGAACCCCTCCTTACATCAGGGTCCCCTTTGCACCCCTCCTTACATCAGGGTCTCCATAGTCCCCCTTCTTGCATCGGGGTCCCCTCAACCTCTCCCCAATGTCGCTATCACTGTCCTCCCCCATGCCACTGTCCTCCCCTTGTCATTGACACTCCCCCCCATGTCACTTACACTGTCCTCCCCATGTCACTGACACTGCCGCCCCATGTCACTGACACTGCCCCCACCGTGTCACTGCCACTGCCCCCAATGTCACTGTCACTCTCCCCCCCAAGTCACTACAGTGACACTACAACTTCCATATCACTGCCACTGCCCCCCATATCACTGACACTGCTCCCCCATGTCACTGACATTGTCTTCTCCATGTCACCGCCACTGTTGCCCTCCCCATGTCGTTGACACTGTCCTCCCCCCCATGTCACTGTGTTCCCCCCCATGTCACTGACTCTGTCCTACCCATGTCACTCACAATTCTCCCCCATGTCTGACACTGCTCCCCCCCATGTCACTGACACTATCCCCCCATGTCACTGACATTTTCCTCTCCATGTGCCTGACACTGCTCCCCCCATGTCACTGACACTGCCCCCCATTTCACTGCCATTGCCCCTACATTTCACCGCATACAACTCCCCCCCCCCCCACATGTCACCGCTACTGCCCCCTCACTTGTCACTGCCACTGCCCCCCCCCCCCCCACGTCACTGCCACTGCTCCTCCCCACGTCATTGGCACTGTCCTCCCCCATGTCACTGACAATGTCCTCCCAATGTCACTGACACTGCTCCCCCATGAAACTGACACCCCCCATGTCACTGCCCCCCATGTCACTGCCATTGCCATTGTCACTGACACTGTCCCCCCCCCATGTCGCTGACACTGCTCCCCTTACCATGTCACTGACAATGCTCCCCCCATGTCACTGACACTGTCCCCCCATTTCACTGACACTGTCCCCCCCCCCCAATTCACTGACACTGTCCTCTCCATGCCACTGTCCCCCCCAATGTCACTGACATTGTCCTCTCCATGTGCCTGACACTGTCCTCCCCCATGTCACTGACACTGTTTTCCCCCATGTCACTGACACTGTTTTCCCCCATGTCACTGACACTGTTTCCCCCATGTCACTTACACTGTCCTCCCCCATGTCACTGGCACTGCCCCCCCCCATATGTAACTGAGACTGCCACCCCATTTGTCACTGCTACTGCCCCCCATGTCACCACCACTGCCCCCCCCATATGTCACTGACACTGCTCTTCCCCCCAGTCACTGACACTGTCTCCCCCCATGTTACTGACCCATGTCACTGCCCCTCATATGTCACTGACACTGCTAACCCCCCATGTCACTGCTTCCCCATGTCGCTGACACTGCTTACCCCCCCCCCCCATGTCACTGACACTGCTTCTCCCTCATGTCACTGACACTGCTTCCCCCCCATGTCACTGACACTGCTCCCCCCATGTCACTGACACTCCCCCCCATGTTACTGACACTGATCCCCCCCAATGTCACTGCCAATGCCCCCCCATATATCACTTTCACTGTTCCCCCCCAGGTCACTGACACTGCACCCCTCCCCCATATCACTGACACTGCTTCCCCCCATGTCACTGACACTGCTTCCCCATGTCGCTGACACTGCTTCCCCCCCAATGTCACTGACACTGTTCTCTCCATGTCACTGCCCCCTGCCATGTCACTGACACTGTTCCCCCCCATGTCACTGCCCTCCCCCATGTCACTGACACAGCCCTACCCCATGCCACTGACACTGTCCCTCCCATGTCACTGACATTGTCCTCTCCATTTCACTGACACTGTCCTCTCCCATGTCACTGACACTGTCCTCCCCCATGTCACTGACACAGCCCTACCCCATGCCACTGACACTGTCCCCCCCATGTCACTGACATTGTCCTCTCCATGTCACTGACACTGTCCTCCCCCATGTCATTGACACTGTCCTCCCCCATGTCACTGACAATGCCCCCCCTATGTCACTGACACTGACCCCCCTATGTAACTGACATTGCCATCCCACATGTCACTGGCCCCAATCAGGGGTGTATTTCCCGCAAGGCAAAGAAGGCATTTGCCCAGGGCGGCACTTTTTAGGGGGGCAGCATGGTGGCGCTGCTGCCCCCCCTTTCCCACGGAAGGGACACTTGGTACAGGGGCGGGCTGCTGTGTCTTACCTGGGTCCGCGACTCCGTGTCCCAGTCCTACGTCAATCCGGTCCACGAAGCGCTGCTGGAGGAGGGGTAAAGAGGTTGTCCGGTCAGCGGGTCCGTTGTCTTAATTTCCCTGGATCAAGTTGTGTGTGGGCGGAATGACATGCCGCCCCTGTCATCTGTCCACACCCCCAGGATCACTCAACAGCCTATAGCAGCTTGTCCCTCCCTCTGCAAGCTCCGCCTCCTCGACAGTGATTGGCCGCTGGAACTGTAGCTCAGGAAAGGCACACAGGCGGCCAATCACCGGTGAGAAGGCAGAGCTTGAAGAGGAGGAGCCGAGCAGCAGCGCGAAGATCAAAAAAGATCTAGTGAGGGAGCAGCCGGAGCGAGTGAAGAGGAGAGCGGGCCGGAGAAGGAAGACAGCTGACCGGTAAGTGTCTGTGCCATGCAGATGGTGCTGCAGCCAGGTATGCTGGCTGTGGGAGAGGGAGGGAGCGAGCCCAGGCTGGAGCAGGGGTCAGCAAGGTAAGTATCACTGGTGTCAGCAGGAGGTATAGTGCCCCATCATTGGTGTAACTGATACCAATGATGGGGCACTATTCCTCCCAATGACACCAATGATGGGGTGCTATTTCCCCCCCCACTGACACCAACGATGGGTCACTAGTCCTCCCCCCACTGACACCAACGATGGGTCACTAGTCCTCCCCCCACTGACACCATTGATGGGTCACTATTCCTCCCCCCACTGACACCAACGATGGGGCACTATTCTTTCCACTGACACTAATGACGGGGGACTATTCCTCCCACTGTGTCAGGAATGGACTTGCCAGTAATGTTGGGACTCACCTGCCTTGTTGGCTGCAGTACCCAGGGCTGGCCAGCGAGTGCTCTCAGCAATCAGAGACTCAACCCTGCAGTCAGCCAAACACCTGAAGCTGATTACGGAGGTGCATTTAAGGGATGGCCAGACCTGCAGTCTGTGCCTTGGTGTGTGTTTTTTCTATGGGCCCCTGTATCTTGTTACCTGCATTCCTGTTCCTGTTCCTGCCTGACTGACTCGTTGACGACCCTGCCTGATCCTGACCTCTGCTGACTTCTCCTGTTTGATCCCTGGCTTGTGACCCCGACCATTCTCTGCCTGACCCCCTGTACCTACCTGCCCGTTAGTTGCTGTACCCGGCTCGTGACCTGACTACTCTCTGCCTGCTCCTCCTGTTCCTACCTGCCCGATTGTTATTGGCCCGGCCTGCCTGACTACGCTTGCATTGTATGTATTGTTATCTGTGGGTGGCTTGGTTTGGTTCGTTTTGCACTTTGTTTATGTTTTAGTATTGCACTGCGTTTTGTATTGTTAGTATTAATAAATTATATTGTTTATAACATATCTGAAGCCTGCGTTTCCCTGCGTCAGTTCACATACCTATGGTCATACCCGGAGCCCTGACATTACACCAAGGCCAATCCTGACCAAAAGTGGCTGCACAGGGAAGCCATCGTGGCTTGTTGCTGGGAAGGATGGATCTTGATGAGGTTGTGTATTTGTCGCTGCTGGTTTTTGATGACAGAGAATATGCTTATCAGACTCTGAGGGAGTATACCCGGGATCAACTGCTGGAATGTATACGGATCGCTCATGTTCTAGTAGATCAGGGCACAGAGTTCTCTGAGGTGCAACCGCAACCTTTGATTCAGGTTTGGGTAGAGTTGGCTTCATCTGGTACCCCCTGAAAGCAGGAATGACTTGTTGCCACCATTTAGTGCAGACCAGGTAGAGTCCCTGGTATGGTTATTAGAAGATGATGTGGATTGCTTCTTGGAGCATTATGCTGCATGTTCACCACAGGTATTAAGGGATTGTATAAACGCAGTGCAATCTTTGACCAGACAGGCTTTGTGTAAGCTCAGCTTTGTTCAACCCATACTGCAGACATGGTCAGACTTGTTGCACCCAGCCTCAGTCAACTTGCAACGTCATTCCTCTGCTCAAGGCACTCTTCCTGCATCCCCGACAGCACCCCCAGTGATGGCCCAGTATACTCTGCTAACTACCACATACCAGTCCCCTGCTCCCACTCGCTGCACCTATCCTTTCTTTGGCCCTGTGGAGAGGTCCTCTGTGGCGGCTGCTCCCTCCTCTGTTCCATCTTCCAGCTCTTCTCTGTCCTCAGCTGCTCCATTCGTTTGCAGACCTGCATTTACTTGCAGTGCTCCAGTAGTTAAAACCAGAAAAAAGCGAAAATTCTTTCCAACCAGTACCATCCTGCCAGTATCCAAACCAGTGAGCCTGCCGTCTGAGAACCTGCCTTCCGTGGTTCAGCCTGGTGCCTCGGCACCCTCACTTCAGCCTGATGTCTGTACCCAGCCTGATGTCTGTACCCAGCCTGATGAACTGATCCAGCCTGATGATCCTATCACGCCTGATGACCCAGTGCCCGCTGTCATACCTGGTGACCCGATGCCCGCTGTCGAGCCACACACGATCCAATGCCTGATGACCCAGTGCCCGCTGTCATGCCTGGTGACCCGATGCCCGCTGTCAAGCCAGACGATCCGGTACCTGATGACCCGGTGCCCGCTGTCATACCTGGTGACCCGATGCCCGCTGTCGAGCCAGACGATCCAATGTCTGATGACCCAGTGCCCGCTGTCATGCCTGGTGACCCGATGCCCGCTGTCGAGCCAGACGATCCAATGCCTGATGACCTGGTGCCCGCTGTCGATCCAGACGATCCGGTACCTGATGACCCAGTGCCTGCTGTCATGCCTGGTGACCCGATCCCGCTGTCGACCAGACAATCCGCCAGATGACCCGGTGCCCGCTGTCGATCCAGACGATCCGGTACCTGATGACCCGGTGCCCGCTGTCATGCCTGGTGACCCGATGCCCGCTGTCGAGCCAGACAATCCAATGCCTGATGACCCAGTGCCCGCTGTCATGCCTGGTGACCCGATGCCCGCTGTCGAGCCAGACGATCCAATGCCTGATGACCCAGTGCCCGCTGTCATGCCTGGTGACCCGATGCCCGCTGTCGAGCCAGACGATCCAGCGCCAGATGACCCGGTGCCTGCTGTCGAGCCAGACGATCCGGTACCTGATGACCCGGTGCCCGCTGTCATGCCAATTGACTCAGAGCCCACTGTCGTGCCTGGTGACTCGGTGCCCACTGCCTTGCCAGATGACGCGGTGCCCGCTGTCGAGCCAAATGACCTGATGCCTGGTGACCCGATGCCCGCTGTCGAGCCAGACGATCCAATGTCTGACCCAGTGCCCGCGGTCATGCCAGTTGACTCGGAACCCACTGTCGTGCCTGGTGACTCGGTGCCCACTGCCTTGCCAGATGACGCGGTGCCCGCTGGCGAGCCAAATGACCTGATGCCTGGTGACCTGATGCCCGCTGTTGTGCCTGATGACCCGGTGCCCGCGCCGCTCCGCCTGGAGGCCTGGCGCCCGCCGCTCCACCTGGGGGCCCGATGCCTGTCGCTCCGCCCGGGGGCCCGGTGCCTGCCACCCCTCCCGGGGGCCCGGCGCCCGCCGCTCCGCCTGGGGACCCAGTGCCTGCCGCCCCCGCCTGGGGGCCCTGTGCCTGCCGCCCCGCCTGGGGGCCCGTGCCTGTCGCTCCGCCTGGGGGCCCGGTGCCTGCTGCTCCGCCTGGTGGCCCGGTGCCTGCTGCTCCGCCTGGTGGCCCGGTGCCTGCTGCTCCGCCTGGTGGCCCGGTGCCTGCTGCCCCGCCTGGTGGCCCGATGCCTGCTGCCCCGCCTGGTGGCCCGGCCTGCCTGCTGCTCTGCCTGGTGGCCCGGTGTCCAGCCCGATGTGCCTCTGCCCGCCTGGTCCATCCCGGTGCCTGCCTCTGCCCCGGTGTCCAGCCCGATGTGCCTCTGCCCGGAGTCCAGCCCGATGTGCCTCTGCCCGGAGTCCAGCCCGATGTGCCTCTGCCCGGAGTCCAGCCCGATGTGCCTCTGCCCAGGGTCCTGCCCGATGTGCCAGTCTTTGATATCCCGCCAGTTACCAGACCCGGGTGGTGGAACATTTTGCCCAGCTAGGACTGTTTGGAGCGTCCTGAGGCCGCTCCTTGAGGGGGGGGGGTACTGTCAGGAATGGACTTGCCAGTAATGGTGGGACTCACCTGCCTTGTGGGCTGCAGTACCAGGGCTGGCCAGCGGGTGCTCTCAGCAATCAGAGACTCAACCCTGCAGTCAGCCAAACACCTGAAGCTGATTACGGAGGTGCATTTAAGGGATGGCCAGACCTGCAGTCTGTGCCTTGGTGTGTGTTTTTCTATGGGCCCCTGTATCTTGTTACCTGCATTCCTGTTCCTGTTCCTGCCTGACTGACTCGTTGCCGACCCTGCCTGATCCTGACCTCTGCTGACTTCTCCTGTTTGATCCCTGGCTTGTGACCCTGACCATTCTCTGCCTGACCCCCTGTACCTACCTGCCCGTTAGTTGCTGTACCCGGCTCGTGACCTGACTACACTCTGCCTGCTCCTCCTGTTCCTACCTGCCCGATTGTTATTGACCCGGCCTGCCTGACTACGCTTGCATTGTATGTATTGTTATCTGTGGGTGGCTTGGTTGGTTCGTTTGCACTTTGTTTATGTTTTAGTATTGCACTGCGTTTTGTATTGTTAGTATTAATAAATTATATTGTTTATAACATATCTGAAGCCTGCGTTTCCCTGCGTCAGTTCACATACCTCTGGTCATACCCGGAGCCCTGACACACTGACACCAATGATGGGGCACTATCCTTCCCACTGACACTAATGATGGGGCACTATTCCTCCCACTGATGCCAATGATGGGGCACTATTCCTCCCACTGATACCAATGATGGGGCACTATTCCTCCCACTGATACCAATGATGTGGCACTAATCCTCCCACTGACACTAATGATGGGGCACTATTCCTCCCACTGATCCCAACGATGGGACACTATTCCTCCCACTGACACCAATGATGGGGCACTGTCGTTTGTGTCAGTGGGAGAAATAGTGCCCCATCATTGGTGTCAGTGTGGGAGGAATAGTGCCCCATCACTGGTGTCAGTGTGGAAGTAATAGTACCCCATCATTGTTGTCAGTGGGAGGAATAGTGCCCCATTGTTGGTGTCAGTGGGAGGAATAGTGCACCATCATTGTTGTCAGTGGGAGGAATAGTGCCCCATTGTTGGTGTCAGTGGGAGGAATAGTGCCACATCATTGGTATCAGTGGGAGGAATAGTGCCCCATTGTTGGTGTCAGTGGGAGGAATAGTGCCCCATTGTTGGTGTCAGTGGGAGAAATAGTGCACCATCATTTTTGTCAGTGGGAGGAGTAGTGCCCCATTGTTGGTGTCAGTGGGAGGAATAGTGCACCACCATTGAGATTTCTCATATAATTCTCTTCCCCTTGCTCATGTAAGTAGAATGCTGCTTTTCCTAGAAGTCTGCACAGTGACTGAGGTAAAATTCCAGGCATCTTCAGCAATATCCTTAAAGTTACTCTGTCACGGCCAGTATGGCAGCTGTTTTTGGACCTCTATTAAAAATGCTAGTTGCCTGTGTCTGACTTCAATATTTTTAGTCACACACCCAGTACAAGCATGCTGCAACTGAGCATCAGAAAAGTGTTAGAATTTTTATCTTTATACTTGTTTTGGGTTAAATTGGCCATAGATGGATTGAAATTAGGTCAGTTCAACAAGGACCATCCAAATTTTTATCCATTTATATCCATCCCTGTTCAACAGAAGCCGATCCAAAGATCAACTTTTGTCAAATGGGAATATTGCAAAACCTTTCTTGATCAACGACCATAGCCTTTTGGCTACAGCAGTGGATCAGTGTATTCTGGAAGCAGAGGAGTCCTGCTGTCAGAATAAAATGTCCCAGCAGGGAGGATTCCTCTATCCACCTCTATTGTATGGGTGTAGGCATCTGTTTCTTTTTTTTTTTTTTCAATTAGCTCCCACTGACTGATTGAAAAAAAAAGAAAAAAGAGTTATCAGTGGCCAGCTTTAGATATTTACAAATCAATGAAACCAGAGCAACAGAGTGACAGACAGAGAACTAACATTCTCAAAGAAATGGTCAGCAATGGCAACCCCTTTATGTTTCACATAGGAGTCGCTTTAAGTTGTCTGAAGTTATAAATTTATCTTTGGTATGATACTTACAAAGGCTTCTACATGTCTGAGGGGATGTTGCAGAAGTGTAGTGTTTCTGATTACTACACTGATCAAAAGCTCCCTGAGAAGCTTGCTTAATTTGGCTGCATTTAATATTCTACATCTCAGATTACTCCTTTATGCTGTTTCTTGAAAAATCTTAGCTGTTCACTGATTGACTTTATTGTAATAATAATTACCATCTTTGTAGCCGTCATCTGAAAATGCTCTGTCCTGACCAATGTTCTATCTCACGTCAGACTTTCCCCTCATTTCAGAGAAATTGTGGAAATCAAGTGTACGGAAAATAGATTTTCATGTCTGTTATGTTTAAAGTGGTCAAGTAAGGTCATTGCATATAACCCAAAACAGTGAAATACATTTCTAGGACCAGGTTCAAGCATATCCACAGAAGCTCAGTGGAAAATTGCCAGAAATAGTTTTTCCACATTCAGCGTAATCCAGAATTCAAGTTGGATATATTCCTAGAACAATCTTAAACATTTATTTTTTTATTGATTTTCCTAAGCAGCACAAAGAGAATATTGAAGTACTTATGGATCATTAGTGCCTTGCTGGAATTTTTCTGTTTAACCAGCTATGATTCAATTTTTAGTGCTTAAAATTTACCACCTTAAAAAAAACTGAGCATGCTTCAGACTAGTCTATATTTTATTGTGAAAGCAAAATTTTGTTTTGTGGGATTTGGCGTGCCTACCATGGTGGACCCTAATGAGGGTGTACTATTTTCTGTAGCACAAGACAACCAGGAAGCATGGTGCAAGTGCAGAGTAACCTCCTACATTAATGTGGCATCACTGGAATTAATTGAAATGCAATAAGAATGTATCTACTGTTTCTGATCTATAACATCAACACCTCCAGACCTCCATCATCAAAATCAAAACCCTTCTCTATTTATTGTATAGATTTGCTGGGCAGACCTAAGCATTATACAGGGATACTGTAGAGAATAGATTGTCAGCAGTGCTACATTCCAATTTCTGCTCCACGACAGCCATACCTACCTTGCCTTGAAAAAGTATTCATACCCATTGAAATTTTCCACATTTTGTCATGTTACAACCAAAAACATTAATGTATTTTATTAGGATTTTATGCGATAGACCAGTACAAAATAGGACATAATTGTGAAGTGGAAGAAAAATGATAAATGTTTTTCAAATTTGTTTACAAATAAATATCTGAAAAGTGTGGTGTGCATTTGTATTCAGCCCCCCTGACTTAATACTTTGTAGAACTACCTTTTGCTGCAATTACAGCTGCAAGTCTTTTTGGGTATGTCTCTACCAGTTTTGCACAACTAGAGTGACATTTTTGCCTATTCTTCTTTGCAAAATGGCTCAAACTCTGTCAGATTGCATGGAGAGCTTCTGTGAACAGCAATTTTCAAGTCTAGCCACAGATTCTCAGTTGGATTTAGGTCTGGACTTTGACAGGGTCATTCTAACACATGAATATGCTTTGATCTAAACTATTCCATTGTACCTCTGGCTGTATGTTTAGAGTTGTTGTCCTGCTGGAAGGTGCCCAGTCTCAAGTATTTTGCAGACTCTTAACAGGTTTTCTTCTAAGATTGTCCAGTATTTGGCTCCATCCATCTTCCCATCAACTCTGACCAGCTTCCCTGTCCCTGCTGAAGAAAAACATCCCCACAACATGATGCTGCCACCACCATGTTTCACGGTGGGGATGTGTGTTCAGGGTGATGTTGAGTGTTAGTTTTCCACCACATATAGCATTTTGCTTTTAGGCCAAAAAGTTTAATTTTGGTCTAATCTGACCAGAGCACCTTCTTCCACATGTTTGCTGTGTCCCCCACATGGCTTCTTGCAAACTGGGACTTCTTATGGCTTTCTTCTTATCACTCTTCCATAAAGGACAGATTTATAGAGTGCATGACTAATAGTTGTCCTGTGGACAGATTCTCATTCCCCCCATCTGAGCTCCTCCAGAGTTACCATGGGCCTCTTGGCTGCTCCTCTGATTAATGCTTTCCTTGCCTGGCCTGTCAGTTTTAGGTGGACGACCATGTCTTAGTAGGTTTCCAGTTGTGCCATACTCTGTCCATTTTCAGATGATAGATTTAACAG